AGCCGGAAAAAAGCGGCAGCCATGTTTATGCAAATGAAGCGGGGGGAATTTAAATCCCCGCTTCATTTGCAATTGCAATGTGTCTAATTTGCATCCCTTTTACGGAAAAGGGATGCAGTCTAGACACAGCCATAGTGTGTGAAAAAAAATGAATCTTTATCTTTATTCAAGATGTACATGCAGCCAATGAAATTGAAAATACTTGTTTTCTAAAATAATCAGCCTGGAATTTTCTGAAGATACAGATTTAGCATTCTGTGTGAGTTAAAAGAACACTGGAACTGTATATACTATATATCATAGTTGTATTTGCAGACCCAGCACATTGTCCTTTCACAATCTTTTCTAAGGAGCTTTAGGGAAAATATACATTGATATTAATGATAGTGCCAATATCCCCCAGTTAGGGATCAGGAAATCATTGTGCTAGGTGTATAGAAGGAGAACAAAAGAAAGACATTCTGAATCAGAGACAGGGTTCCCGATAAGCTGAATGCGTGTGCGGCAACTTAGGAGGGATTCTAATGTCTCCCAGCTGATTAGCAGAGCATCCACAGCTGGATTTGTATTTCTAGTGGTGGTGCACACTCACACGTGCCTCAGTGCACATAAAATTTATTCCACACATGACTAGAAAAGATTAGAGGGAACATTGCCCAGAGACCTTAAAGCAGTGTTTCTTAAATTGTGATTTGTGGTCCACCGGTGTGCCGCAAGGCAGCTGGAGTTGTGCCACAGAAAACAGAATTCAAAATATCGGCACAGGTAAACCTGGTTTCACACCCCATACCTGTGCCGATCAAGAAAGGCTTCTTTGTCGGCGCGTCGCATCCAGACTGCCCCGATCTGCCGACATGGGCAGCTGATGGGCTGAGACCACAGTCCGTTGTCTGTCTGCTGGGTCCCTCCACCGCAGGCTCTATGGGGCCAGGCTCTGTGGGGTCCTGGGCCATGTCGGGGGCTTCCAATACAAATCGCTAACGAGAATCACGACAGGCAGCAACAGGAAGGGCCCAGCATCTGAACGAGGCAGGGACCCAGAATCCGGTGCAACACGCATGGCGTTGGTACAGGGGTGGGGCATGAGGGCTGGTTCAGAAGGAGGTCTTGGTGCACCCTGGGAAGGGAAAGGATCCCCCACTTTCCCCACTTCTCCACCCTCCTGCTCTGCTGTTGCCATCAGAGGACTTCCTCTCCTCCCATGGGCGTTCGTTTGCGTTAATGAAGTCACGAATGGCCTTCGCCTCTGTGGTCTGGGAGCTCTGCTGGAATTTCTCTGCCACCTCTTGTAACCTGCTTCTCAGCTGTGGTCTCTCCAGATACTTGTCTGGGATGGCGAAACCGGCTTTGTACATCTCAGCTGCCTCGGGCAGGGACTCCCGCTTGTAGAGGAGAAAGTCCCCCCAGTGAAGGTAGACGGCCTGCTGGCACCTCTTGCTGAGGGTGGACACCTCGCTCATGAGGTTGAGGTAAATCTCTTCTTGGTAGCCAGGTGTCTTTTCTCCGAGCATTTCAGCTAGCGCCAGCTTTGCAAACACAGAGGGGGGATCTTTCTGCACAGCCATCTTGAAGGCCTCCGTACCCGCTGCCAAGATTTCTTCTCTTCTCCCCATGTTGGCCACCGCCAGTTGTTGTTTGTAGCAGACACCAAGGTCATAGTACAGGAGATGGTACGTGGGGTCCAGCGATATTGCCCTCTGTAGAATAGGAATTCTTTTATCTGGGAACTCTGCTTGAAAGAACTTGGCTGCATATCTCAGGACTTCAGGGTCTCGGCTATTCTGCACGTCTTCCAAGAGGGCTTCAGCTTGGCCTCTATCTCCCTTCTTAATGAGCTGGGCTAAATACACCTTCGCTTCATAGTTATGTGGCTGTTTCTGGATAATGTCTCCCAACTTCTCTTTGGCTTCCTTCCAAGACACAGAATCGTGCATCTCTTTGGCTTCCTTCCAAGACACAGGATCATACAAGTGGGTCCACAATGCATAGGCTGCGATTACCGACCCAGCAAGATATTCCCCATTGGCTTCGTCTTCTGCCAATGCCCTTTGGAAACACTCTGTGGCCTGTTGGCCGTGGCGGAAGCCGGTTGCCAGGAGAGACCAGCCTTTGTGTGCGTGGACCTCAGGGATCAGAGCTGCGTATGGCGAGCGGCTGTTCAGGGAGCGGCAGATCTGGCTCACCTGGTCCAGGTAACGCTCCACCACGTCGTAATGGGCCAGGTGATAGTAGATCCAGGCGTAGTTCCCGTAAATGACCAGGGCCTGGCGGGGGACGTTACCTGGGTGATCTCTATGCAGGAACTCTTCAGCTTCCCTAAGGCTTTGCAGAGCGTCCTCATATCGCCCTTGCAGGTGGCAGAGATAAGCCTTCATGGCCAGGAACACAGCCTGGTTCGGGTAGGGAGTGTGGGCAACTCTGAGAGCCACCGTATGGAGGATGTGAGCGGCGTCCACCTTGTCCCTGATTTCAAAGTCCCAGGTGAAGTGGCACTGGAGGGCCTGCAGCTTCTCCTTCAGCGGCAGGGAGCTGCAGAGAGAGGGGAAAAGAAAACTCGATCAGGGCTGCACGCTAACTTGGGGGGCAGTGGGTACTGAGCTCCTGCTGTGCAGCCAAACCCTTAGGCCTGGTCTCCACTACCAAATGTTGTCACCCAAACCTGCCTTTGGCAACAAAACAGGGGGAACGTTTTCACTGCGATTCGACTGCTGTCGAGGAAATGCCCAATTTTGACAACAAAAACTTCCACCCTACAAGAGACTTTTTTTTTCTCTCCCCCACCCCGCTGCCGCCGTTTACTGTCAATGGAGAGCCAGTGTGGCCTCCGCTGTGGGTTTTGTGGAGAGAATTGGCTTCCGCCAGTATCCCACATTGTCTGCCCTGAGCCCTTTGCTCAGTGTTCTGTGACCTCTGCTGCCCTGCAGGCCTACGCCCCTCCCCTTTCAAAGCTCCGTGAAGTTTCAGCCACGGCCAGTTACCACCTTTCCCCGCACTGTACCTGCCCCCGCTTGTCCTATCACCTGCCTCTTGCAATGGCCACACTGGTCACTGGCACTGCTCTCAATGTTCTAAATTCTTATTTTCCACCAGCCAGACTCCCTGGTACCATGAACCCCCCCAGACATATCCGGGGGCGGGGAGGCAACCACAACCATCTAACCTCATATATGTGGGGATGTCCAGAAAGTGACCTGCTCTGTTCTGGAGAAGCTCCCCTAGTTCCGTCGCATTGCGCCCCCAAACCCCAGCCCTCTGTGGGAGGGGACAGTGAATCCCCCAAGGGAGAGCTCAGTCCCTGCGGACAGGAGGGGCCGTAGGAGCGTGGGGCCGACAGAAGGTGCTATGGAAGTGCTCAGTGCCGGTGCCACCACCAAGAAGGCCATGTCCGAGGAGGCTGAGGGACGGACGGATGGACACAGACCCAGCGAGAGGGAGGTGCTACCCGGCAAGT